CGACTACGAGTGTTTTGATTGCATTTCTGACATGCACCCACGCTTGAAACTCATATCGGACTTATAAATACTTCGCGAAGGGCTGTGATTGGCTGATAGAACATGAACTCGACTGTTTTGATTGGATTTCTGACAAGAACACGCACTTCGAGCTTCCTATCGCGCTTGAAAGCACGACTCTCAACCTTCTCGAGCACGAGTCGAGTAAAAAAAAAGCGGGCTTGATCAGTAAATCAAAGCCCTAGTGGAGCGGGCTTTGATCGTAAAATCAAAGCCCGCCTGGGCGGGCTTTGATGGGAAAATCAAAGCCCGCTCCACTAAATATGGAGTTCTACTGCTTGTAGCATGCTTTGATCGCCTCATCTAGGCCCTGCTAGGTGCAATGCGATTGGTCATCTCCGTGCCTACAGTCTTGTGACATGTCAGAAAGGCGAATCTAGCTGCAGATGTACACTGTCACTGTACTACACTCAGTACACCTGGTACACGCATGTAACTGTGTAACTGTTTGTGGAACGGACTACATGTACTTTGATCTGCGTGCAGTGCTTCGTTGTGCTGAAGTCTTTCCGGATCTTCACTGCAGTGGCTCGAGTCTCTCGGTTCGTGCGTGTCCGCTTGCCCAAGCAGACCATACGCCTGCTGGAAAATCTGATTATTAGAATGCTCCCTGTGGCTGCGATTTCTCGCTGCTTGACTCTCACCCCAACACATCACGGTAAGAACTATTCAGGGATCCCAGAGCAATGTTTCTTCTTATCTTTCCTGAACGAACTTTGCGCGGGATTTTCATTCAGCGATCGCAGTCTGCAAGCCTAGGATGCCTAGGATGTGAACAGGAGACTACGATGAAAATATAATTATTATCTCCACTAGGTCAGCATGGGGGCCTGCACCATCGCAGGAGATGGACAATGCATTTTCCGTGCACCATCGCACCCGGTGCTGGATGCACCTTTCCTGTGTCCTGCTAGCAATCGAAGGGAGCGTAAGAAAAGGATACTTGAAGGACACCAGGCTGTGCTGACCTCCCCTACTCCCTAGATGCTCACGTCAAAAGCCGGTGAAACGGGGTGTGAACCGTGAGCGGCAATGGGCTAGGTCACCCCCCCCCCCCACCCCAAAGTGTAGGGCGCGCATGTACTAGTAAACGAACGCTGGAAAGTGATACAGTCATGTACAGTCGTAGTTACTAGAATATCAGTCAAAGCGTGAGTTCACTCACACTTCACTGGAAAAGAGGGTCATGGAAAAAAATGTTTTGGATAATGTGCTCCGATGCAATTATTATTTTGCTCTTATCATGCGACAAAAGCGACATGGACACTGACTCGTTCTCAAAGCCATGAGTTGGCAAGGCCATCCGTGCGACTTCGACGTCATTTTGAGAAAAGCAGACGCCTGTGAGTGCTGATAGGTGGCACCAGTGTTATGGAAAAGTATTATTGCAAGATCCGAATGTTACTGGAAGCCAGGTGTTGCTGTACAGTTCTCTTCCATGGAGGGCGCATGTGCAATTTACTTCCATGTACTGTCGTGGACATGGAAATCCAGTCGCACGTCTAGCGGCCCCAGGGCGCTGGCCAAGCAGCCGTGGGTAAACAGGACGAACGCGTACACACAATTATGCGCTGCAGTACGCTGGTCGCATTGGATGAACATGACTAGACTGTGCACTGCACGTCTGTGATTCTGTACGCGCTGAGGGCGCCGAGCCCCGGTCAATCGACTGGATTTCCATGTCTGCTACAGCACTAGGCACTGCATGCGCAGCGCTGCTCAATGAAATCCAGTCGCGTCACTCGCGTTTGCGCCTTGCACCTTTCTTCCCAGCCCGGTGTTCGCTGG